AGAAGGAAAATGTTGGAAGGATGGAAGAATCAGGAGTGCTTTCATTTGGAAGAGGATTTCTTTCTTTTTTTAAATTTATTTATTTATTATTTTTATGGTGACATTGATTAATGAAATCTGATAAGTTTCAGGTGTACACTTTAACAGTAAGGCATATATATATATATATATTTACATTGTGTGTTCACCTCCCATAGTTAGATTTCTTTCTGTCATCACATATTTGACCCTTTACCCAGTCTACCTCCCCTCTCCCCCCACCCCCTACCCTCTGGTAAACACTATGTCCATGAGTCTCTGTTTGTTTGTTTTTAGGTTTATATCCCACATATAAGTGATATCATGTAATTTTCAACTTTTTCTGTCTGGCTTATTTCGCTTAGCATGATTATCTTGAGGTCCATCCAAGTTGTCGCAAATGGCAGTTTTTCATCTCTTCTTATGACTGAGTAATATTCCATTATATACGTACCACAGTGCATGAGGATTTCTGAGATGAGCCTTGACTAAAACGTAGGAATTCTACCTGTTGAAGTGGAGGTATAGGAAACAAAATTAACAAAGGCAGGACACTATAGGAGATGTTCGAGTGACAGTGAATTTTCTAGATTTGTTGAAACATAAAGTACCAGTACTAAAGGAGTAAAATACCAGTATTTGAAATTTATGGGGAGATGTATTAAAAGTCCTTGAGTTCCAGGATAACAAATTTACACCTAATTTGACAGGTTTGTTATGAAGCCATTGAAGATTTTTTTAATAGGAAATTATATAACTTGAACTTTACTTTGGAAATCTATTCTGGAAGTGGGATTTGGATGAACTGAAATGGGAAGAGACCAGAAGGTCAATGAGGAAGTTATGAGAGAAATACCATTTAAAAAACAGTGAAGAACATTACTTCACACCTGCTGTAATGGCTGTAAGGAAAGGAGGGAAAAAGGAAAATAGCAAGTGTTGATGGAGAGTAGAGAACCGGGAAACCTCATGTATGTCTAGCTGGAATGTAGAATGCCGCAGACACTGTGGAAAACAGTTTGGCAGTTCTTCAAAAGTTAAGACACAGAGTTACCATAACTTAGCAACTCTATCCCTAGGTATACTCTCAAGAGAACTGAATATATATGTTCCACACAAAACTTGTAAGTGAATGTTTATAGCAGCATTATTCCTAATAGTCAAAAAGTGGAAACAATTCAAATATCCATCAACTGGAAAAGGTATGTCCATACAATAGAATGTTTTTTGGCAATAAAAAGTAATGAAGCACTGATACATGCTAAACATGGATAAACCTTTAAAATGTTATGATAAGTGAAAGAAGACAGACACAAAAGGCTATACACTGTATGATTCCATTTAAATGAAATTCTCATGATAGGCTAATCTATAGAGACAGAAACCAGATTCATGGTTACCAGAGGATAGGTAGAGGGGGACATTGGAAAGTATGGGTTTCTCTTTGGGGTGATAGAAATATTCTGTAATTAGTATTGGTAATAGTTGCATAATATTGTGAATGTCTTTAACATTCACTAAGTCAACCATTTTAAAATGGTTGAAATGGTGAATTTTATGTTGTGAATTTTATCTCAATTAAAAAAGAAACAGTGAAGAAATGAATTACAATGGTGGTCATATGAATAGAAAGACGAGTGGGTGAAATGCTAAGGAATTCTAATCTATGTGTTTTTACAACTACCACAATTCATCAGAGCTAATACATCATCAATTTTAAGATGCGCCATAATTTTACATACTACTGAGAAAGAAAAATGCTGTAATTAAACTATGTAATTAATGGTAAAAAGAAACTGATATCAGAGACTTTATCTTGTAAAAAGTGCTTTACAATTAAGGAAATGCGTAAATAGATGTAGGAAGTAAAGGAAACATGTAATTTAGAAAAATAGAGAAAGATCTAGTTTGTGCAGAAACACAATGAGTTGAGTTCACACCATTGTGAGTTCCAAGTATGCTCTTTTGGTATTCATACTGAGATTTAAAAATCATTATTAAAAAAAATTACTATACATACTAGTGTAATGGGAAATTATACTTTTAAATATATACATTGGGAATTTTAAGAACTACAAGCCTGAAAATGAACAGTCAGAAAATTTAAAGCCATCTATATGGGAAGAATCCATGATTATTATTTTTTTAACATTAGAAGAAGTCCACACATTCAGAAGCCCAGGAATCTTACCATTCTGAAATCTCTTCTCCAGTTTCCTCTCAAAACACTTCTTAGCAGGTGCTTTGACAGTTACAGAAAACGAAAGACAGTTCTAACTTCAAAGAAGCTCATCGAAGTGCAGCTCAAAAAGAAAGGCAGAAGAAGGCTAATACGAAGCATTCAGAAAAGTTTGTTAATGGCTATGGTGTTTCCAAGGTAAATATTCAATTTGATCGGCATGAATAAGTACCTGGTATTTTTCAGGCCTTGTAGGTATACTCTGCGGGATGTAAAATGCAATCTTTACAGTTAAGGAGGGTGGAGAAGTGTCAAAAAAGGACAAAAAAAATAGAACATGAGATGGAATAAATTTTGGTTCAAGTAGCTATCTACCTGTGAACAGTAAGAGAGTTGCAAACACAATGAGTACTATGGGGGTTCAAAGAGGGAAAGATCCTACCTGAAGAGAAGGACTGGAAAAGGCAAGATAGGTACCCGGAGATGGACTTTAAGAATATGTGAGAATTTAGGAAGCAGAGATGGCAGCAGTAGCTGTTCCAATCAGAGTTAAGAGTTTGAATAAAAGCATGGAGGTAGGAAGGCATGCAGTGCATTAGAGAAAGGTCTGCTTTGGGTTGAGACAAAAATATAAATTGGGAAAGCTTTGAAATATATTTTGGGTTGTAGGTAAGTGGTTTTGAATGCTACAGTGAGAGTATTGTATTTAATTCAGAAGGAAATGGAGAGTTCTTGATGGTTTTAAATTAAGAGAATTACATGATAAAGAAAACATTTAAAAATACTAATCTAGCACCATTTTGAAACATGGACTGACAGAGGGAGCTCTAAAAATAGGAAAATCAGTGGGAGGGCTACTGTGATAGTGCAAACAGGAAGTAATAAGAATTACTAGAATGTAATAAAAGTGGAAAGAAGGAAATAAAAGGCACATGACAGGTAGAGTATACAGAGCTTGTAAACAACATAAAAAGCAAGGTCAAGGGAGGTTTCGGAACGATAAGAAAAAATGGAGATGCGTGTGTCAAAATAAGGAGTCCAAGAAAGGGGTCTGGAGCTGCGAAAGAAGTTGTGGTTGTTCTGTGAACACGAACACTGTTAAAATAGAGATGTCTAGAATCAGCTAGAAACTCCCGTCAAAGTTCAGATTAAATGGAAAGAAATTATAAAAATATAACAAAACAAGTAGAAAAATTAAATGCTACAAAGGAATTTTTTAAAGGTCATTTAAATAAAAAATGAGGTTTCGATTAAAGGATAGAAATGGAAATCAGAAAAGTTAAGAAGTGAAATGTGAAAGTGAGAAAGTGGGAGCAAAGAGTATAAACTGTACTTCCAAAAACTATAATAGAACAAATTAATTACTCAACAATAAACTATTTGTTAAAGTCTGGAAGAGATCATGGAATACTACGGGACCATTCAAAGAAATGATATAAATAAAGAAAACATACTGACAGAGAAAATACAGTGTTAAACTTTTTAAAACATATACAACAAAGATCATTTGCATGCACTAATATCAAGCTTCAAAATATGTAAAGCAAAATGTAAGAAAAGAACTGTAAGAAATGAACAAATTCATAATAATGATTTTCAAACATCTCTCAGCAGTTAATAGAATAAGCAGGCCAAAAATCAATATGCACTGGCTCCAATACACCACTGGTGCTTACCCTTATTAATAATCAGAGAAATACAAATAAAACACAATTACTTATCATCACACATCCATAAATTACTAAAAGTTTTAAAGTCTGGCAGTTCCAAGTACAGATGAGGACATAGTACATTGTGAACTCTGATAACACTGCTGCTACTAGCTGCAACATCGTTTACCAATATTAAAGTTCAAACAGTTCCAATACTTGTCAAAATATTTAACAAGCAATATTCCATTTCCCACAAATAAGCTCTGGCCCACAGCAGCCCCAGAAGGTCAGATAGGCGCCAGATACTTGCTTGCTGGTCTCCAGGGACTAGCCTGTACTGTGCACAACCAGGGGCCCAGAACCACTGGGAGCTGGTTCTGGGCTCACCCAGACTGAGGGCCATGAGTCTAACTCCTCAGCAGTGACAAAAAGGGCTCCCCAGGGCTGCAACAGAGTTGAAAGGGATATTAGAAGTTTGGAGCAATGGCTTTTTACCAACTGAAACAAAAGTATTTAAATAATATAATAGCATCACCTTAATAGTGTGTACTGACTGCATATTAGTCCTAAATTTTCCCTAAGGAAACTTTTTTATGCAACCATTGATTCATGATAAGAAAGAAAAAGAAAAGAAAAAAGAAAATGAATGATAATGAAAATAACAGCTATAAGCAATGTGCGTTAATCTCACATGGAGTTGAAAGAAAAAAAAGACGAAAGAATAAGTACACTAAGATTTCACTGATAAAGTTTTTAATAAGTAAAATTAAACAATACTTACAGAGGAGCATAAATCATAAAGAAATGCAAGGAAGTGATTATTAAGGTTGTGAAGGAAAAGGATGAGTACAGGAAGAATTCTGGAGCAGTGGAAATGTTCTTTATAATTATGTGTTATCTCATATGCATATGTTTAAAAAACGTTTTTCTATTATCTTATGATTTGCAATAAAAAGGGAAAAAGTAAACCAAAATCTTTCCCCAGATAATGACTGGGAGCAATAGCATCAATGCCTTCGGGGAAAAATGGGCAGGGCTGCGGATCACAGTAACCACAGAGAAAGTGATTGGACAATAAAGAGCAGGGATAGTATTTATAGAATGACAGTTCATTACAGGAAACAGAGCGCCTCGGACGGAAGTGGAAGAACTTCTTAACTTAGAGAGCAATTTCCAAGGCGAGTTTTCCAGAGAAAAATGAGTACCAAGGGCAAAGTAAGCGAATATATTGTTTCTTTGTTCAATTCTTCTTTTTTTGTCTCTTTATACATTTGCTAAAAGAAACTTCCTTCAGGCATTACTCTCAGAAGGCATCAATTTAAAGTTAATCAAAAGTATTCCCCATGCTAGGAATTCAAGGAAATTACTGTGGATTCACCATAATGCTTACCACAAGGGTACTCCATTAAATGTTACTTATAATGGCCCTAAAAAAGAGAGATTTAAGTAACTATGTTATAATCATAAAATAGAATTTGCATTTATGAGAAGTAGTGTTAGAGAGGAATATGGAAAATATTCATAGTATATTAATAAGTAGAAAAAAGATTACAAAAATCACATATAATACTATCCCATTTGGGGACAGTCAAAGGATTTACCTCATAAAATTATAGGTGGATTTTATTTCTTTTGTTCTTATTTGTATTTTGAAACTTCTCATAATATATATTTAATTTGTAAATAAGACTAGTGATATTTTAAGATATAATTCAAAATTGCATAACAACAATCAAAAAACATATATTCATGTGCTGCTCAAAGACTGGGAAAATCATACCAAAAGCAAAAATAGTAGCATTAGAATGGAGGATTATAGGTTTGTTTCTTTTTACTTTCTTTCAATGTTACTTATATTTAAAATTAATTTAATTTATATTCTATTGATAAATTTAATTATTACATAAGCCTCACTTCTCAAACTTTTATGTGAATATGAAACACCTGGATCTTTTTCAAATGCAGATATATTGATTTAGTGATTTTGAGACAGAGCTTGTAGTTCTAATAAGTTCCCTGGTGATGTCAATAACTGGTGGTCTAAGGGAGGATCATATTCTTCTGTGATGAAGGAAAAAAATCAAAGCATTATATTAGGGTAAATCTTAATATATCTGTTGTTTTAAAAAATTAAAAATGTAATGAATATAATGTAGATTATGACTTCTTATTTTCAATGAACATCCTTTTTCTTTAAAATAATATAATGATATATAGCATCCAGGCACAAACTCTATGATTCTTTTTCAGGAAATTATAGTATCAACATGCTTTTTAATTTTTACCCACAATATTCTTCCTTTCCTTCTCCCTTCCATTTTTTCTTCCTTTCCCTTACCTTCTCCCTCCTTTTCTCCCCTTCTCTCTCTCCCTCTCTCCAACTCTCCCAGGTTATTAAATGCAAAGCAGCCATTGCCTGGGAATTAGGCAAGCCCCTTTGCATAGAAGAGGTTGAAGTAGCTCCCCCCAAGGCTCATGAAGTTCGCATTCAGGTGAGTGGGGACTTGCCTGGGCTGGACGGACAAGGCACTAAGTACAGCCTTCCCTCAGGTCAAGCCTCTGCAATGTGGCTAAGAGGCCCTGGAGTTTACAGTATGGGGGAATTATATTTTTAGATCCAGATAAAAAATAACCCTTACCCCCCCTAGGAGGGGTAAATTATTATTTATTTTTTAGAATATTAATAATAGGCTTAAAATTTAACTACATTAAGAATCAGATAAAGAAATTCACCTTGGATTAGAATTAGCTGTTTTGTTTGTTTGTTTGTTTGTTTGTTTGTTTGTTTGTTTCCCATTTGCCAATTATTGTAAAGTGTTATTAAAAGTAAGATAGAGAATTTGGTTCAAAACAAGAAAGAGGAAATACTGAAGTGCTGCCCTAGGCAGCATAAGGTTTTGGGTGCCCAGTTTAAGGGACCAGGAGTGGGTTAGCAGGGAGAAAAGACCATGTATTTCCTCCAGACTACTACATCAAGGGCTTATACATGAGAATAAATGAGACATCCTCATGAGCAGAATCTGAAATAATAATAATGATGATGATGATGATGATGATAATGATATAGCGGTAATTAATTTAGACAATCCTACCTAAATTTGGTATCTCACTTTTAACTATAAAATTTTACTACCTTTATTTCATTTCATGCAGTTTCAACAAAATTTGAACAAGGCCTAGAAACCTGTGCTTCCTCCATTCTCTCTGCCTATTAGACTTTAACTTTTCCCTATTCTTTTTTATTTCTCCTCTCCTAGAGAGAGTAACTGCCAATTATATCCGTTTTTATGATTTTCCAAAGACAGTAAAAAGTAGAAAACAAAGGCATATTTATAAGAGGAAAAGAATATGTCCTGATATATTTTGTTCTTTTATTTTTCAAAATATAATTCTTTTATCAAGCTCTAAGAGTGTTGTAAAGTTTCCAGGTGACATTGGGCCTAAAATTATCCACCTAACTATCCCAATGATACGATTACAGAAACATAACTTAAGTATGTGGTTGCTTTGTAGATAATCGCCACTGCTGTATGCCACACAGATGCCCATATTATCCATCCTAAAAGTACAGAGTCTGTGTTCCCGGTGATCCTTGGTCATGAGGGTGCAGGAATTGTGGAAAGCGTTGGGCCAGGAGTGACCAACTTCAAACCAGGTATTTTATTTTCTGATTCCAATTAAATGGAAATGTCAGGATATTTCAGAGGTAATTCCTAATACAGTCCTGGCTTAGCATGCTATAATTGATTTCTATTTACATAGAGGGATCACCTTTTCCAAAGCAAAACTGACACAATCTATCACAGTCTAACAATGAGACAGAATATTTGAAATCAGAGCCATCTAATAGTATCTGGGGAACATGGCCACTTTATTTACCTATAGCACTGAGAAATTGTACCATGAAGCAAAGCTACAAAGTTAGCTTAAACTGAAGCTTTCATGGAGGCACAAATGACAACTTAAAACAACCTCCTCTAAAAGAGAAAACTAATTTAAATAAGAATTTAAAGAATGAGGTCTTATGAGTGACTTAAGTGAGAAATATGTTAGTTTAAGTAACTTTTTGGAAGTTTGAAAAATAAAAATAATACATAAATGAAACATGTCAATGGCTAAAATTATTAACTTCCTATTTCATAACAGATCCACCAAATACTGAGGACTTATCAGGCAGGATGAACTGTGTCATTCTTTCTTCCTTTAATGAGAATGCTCCAAATCTAGAGGTCTATTGTATCTTTTCATTCCAAACAAGATCATAAAAACCAATTGCTCCCAAAGTTTATATCCATGAAGGGGTCTGGCTAATGTAGTCCCAGATCTGCTACTTACTGACTGTTAAGTCTCTTTTCTGTTACTCAGACTTCTTTTTTTCTAAAGTGGGGACAATGATAGCATGCATCCAAAAGGGTTGTTCTGAGAATTAAATGAGACAATAAAAGCAAACAGTTAAAATGGTATCTGGCACATACTAAATGTTGAACTAATGTTATTTATTATTGGACCTTGGTCATCAGAAGATAGAAGGCATTTTAAATTGAAATTAAATAAAAAGTTAAAAAATATAGAATTTGAGAGTAAAATAAGTGGTGAAACATGGAGATATCATATAAAGTTTACTCTCCATATCTAACCTATTACATCCACCTCTCCTATTATATAAAGGAGTTCTATTCCATACAGATGTTTAGAAATGTAATAAATAATAGTCATGATGCAGAGAGTTGCAATGACAGAAGAGTCCTTAGTCAAGACTCTTCCCCTGATGGTATCAATACAGATATGTTGCTCGATTGCCCAGCAGAGAAAAAAAGAAAAAGAAAGACAGAATATGCAATACTTGGGGTAATCAGCAATCTTAGATAGTAACAAAATGTTGTAGCCAGCTATATTTTCTGCTGAACACAAAATATATACCCTGAAGAATGGTGCTTTCCTCCACTGATTCATCTGGTAGGTGAATTTTATAAGTAACATCTTAGATACCAACCAACATATGGCCTTTCTTTCTAGGTGACAAAGTAATTCCACTCTACGTACCTCAATGTAGAAAATGCAAGTTCTGTCTGAGTCCACTCACAAATATTTGCGTGAAACTTGGGTAAGCCCTATACACTGTTAGTAAGAGTATATATTCATACAAATATTTTGGGCACGGCATTGGCAATACCTAAAAGGAGTTGAAGAGGTACATATTTTCTACCCACCACTTCTACTCTTAGGAGCATACAAAAAACTGTTGCAAGATCACCCGGGGATACATGTTCTAGAATGTTCATTGCAACATTGTTTATAATAGCAAACAATTGAAAATAGCACGAATGTTCATCAATAAGAGAATAGATTAACAAATTGCTATGCAACAACAGAATGGAATACTATGTAACAATGAAAATGGCTAAACTTGATCTACATGTATCAACATAGAATACAGTGGCCTCTCTTATCTGTAGTTTCACTTTCCATGGTTTCAGTTACCTACTCATGGTCAATTGCAGTCAGAAAATATTACATGGAAAATTCCAGAAATAAACAATTCGTAGTTTTAAATTACATGCCATTCTGAGTAGTGGGATGAAATCCCATGCCATCCCACCCCATACTGCCCAGAATGTGAATCATCTCTTTGTGAATCAAATCTTAATCACCTTATTCTTTACCAAGACTACAGAAAGATCTATTTGTCCTTAATGCTAATTAAAACTAGTTATCATACTGCTCTTATATCTATTGTTATGTCTCAATTTCCTCACTTATAAAATTGACATAATAATGCCTACTTCAAGGGTTATTGCAGATATTCAAAGAATTAATATGCCCTTTGCAAACTTTTAATGAAATAACAGACTTTGGCAATAACCATAAATTCTTTCTAATATCACAAAAAGAGAGATAAGGTATTACATGCCTTCAGATGAAAATACACAACACCACCTTTGAAGTATTCTTACAAAAATACAAAACCCTAATCAGATCAAGCATTTAGTTCAAAAATACTAGTTTAAAGGAAATCTGGCAATGGAGAAACATGTTAAACCAGATTACAGCAATGCCATCAGAAAAATCCAGAATGAAGAAAACTACCAAACAAATGGCTGTTTCTTCAACAAGTAAATTGCAAGGAAAAAACAACAGGAGAGGTGAAAATCTATAAATTAAAAGAGACTTGAGACATATCAACCAAATGCAATGTGTGGACCTATAAGAATCTTTATCTTTTAGAGATACATACTCAAATATTTGCAATGAAATAGTAATGTCTGGGATTTACTTCAAAATAATCCAAAATGGGGGAAGAATAGGTGGTAGTGTGAGAGGTAGGAAAGGGTAATAGATGGAATTAGATTAGCCATGAATTGGTAATTGCTGAACCCAGGAGATGGTTACATGGAGATTCATTATGCTATTCTTTCTACTTTTATATATGTTTGAGTTGTCCATAATAAAAAATGTTTTAAATTAATACATGTAAAACCCTTAAAAGAGTTTCTGGCATATAAAACTATTCAATAAAAAGTTTATTATCATCACTGTAATAGACTACTTCCATTATATTTATTATATTATGCATTATGTTATATATTATTTATATTATTTATATATTGTTTGCATTATATATTTATATAATATATTATATTACACATTACATAACATAACATAAATAACATAACATAACATTACATAACATGATAACATAAATAATATATAATATATTATATATTATATATTTATTTATGTATATACATATATATTTAGGCAAAAAGTCTCAAGTCATTTTCTCAATTTTTCCATCTTATAAAATCGTCATAACAAATATATAACACCTAACAGTTTTTTCAGGAAAGTAGTAAGTGGTCCATTTACTCTTTTTTGTATCTTTTTTTTTTTTTAATTCTCTAGTTCACTCGAAAATCCTCTTTTGGGCCAAAAACTAATGGAAGACAAAACAAGCAGATTTACCTGCAAAGGCAAATCAGTTTACCATTTCCTAGGGACCAGCACCTTCTCTCAGTACACTGTAGTATCAGATGTTAATCTTTCCAAAATAGACGATGATGTAAATTTAGAGAGAGTTTGTCTGCTTGGATGTGGATTTTCAACTGGCTACGGAGCTGCAATCAACACTGCTAAGGTAAAATGATTATCACAAGGTTATATATAATAGAAGTTACTAGGAGGCAGCGTGATAAAGCAGCTAGAATTATCTTCAATTCCTGGTTCTGTCATTTCTTACCTCTGTGATTTTTGGCAAATTATTTAACCTCTCTCCTCCTACCTCTTGATAATAATATCTGCTACAAATTGCTGTGGGAATAATTAAATCATATTACATATGTAAGACATCTGGCCCAGCAATTGGCATGTAGTTGGCACCCAGTTCATGTTAATTTTTTTTCCTACACTAGTACATTAATTATAGACCATCCCTAATTTAAATACAACTTAAATATGTCCCCTAAATATGAATCCTCAACCTGGGACAGCAGACCCACTCAAGAGACAATAGAAACTACAGAGACTCCCACCCATAATCATATAGCCTCTCCTATTTTCTCCCTGATGCTACAGATTCCTCTTCCTAAACTAGTAACTCATCTCTGCTTCTCATCCTATCCCTTTTGTGGTTCCAAGGGAGGGGCTCAAATGAGAAAAGGAAAGTGCAACAGTTTGTTGTGGCTGGAGTGCTGGAAATATCATGGAGATGAAGTTAAAAAGTGAAAGGGGTGAGATAATAAAAATCCTCCAAAGCCATGCAAGGAAATTTATACCTCATTTCATTTAAATGAATTGACAATTTGGGATGACTAAGTGAGTTAATTCATATCTAGAGAAATATTAGTGGCCATCCAAAACCAACTATAACATTAATACAATCAAATAAGGCCTATTAGAAATGTAGACAACAAGGTATCCCTTGTTGCCAGATGGGAGGAGGGTTGGAAGTGAGTGCAAAAGGGAATATAGTCAATAACATTGTAATAACTATGTATGGTATCAGGTGGGTACCAGATTTATTGGGGTGATCACTTCATAAGGTATGTAAATGTCTAATCACTATGTTGTACACCTGAAACTAATGTAATAGTGTAATAGAAAATTTTTTTGAATTTTAAAAAATATGGGGAAAAAAACAATAAACCCTTTAAAATAAGTGAGTTTTAGAATTTTATTCTGATAACACTAAAGGGAAAAAGAAAACAAGGAAACAATTTGCACTTGGGCTTGTTCCTTATGAACTGATCATCCTAATGGCTCTCAAATAATTCTCCAAATTTAGTCAGTGACACATCCTTGTTCACACTGGCAGATTTCCTTAAGTGGTTATGTTATTTTGTTTTATCACAGACAATTCTTTATTTAAATGTTCCTGTCCCCATATCATTCTGTTCCTTGAAAAAAAAAAAAAAAGTGGGAGCAGCTGCTTCTTAAGTTAATTTATCATTTTCCTGCCTGCAGGTCACCCCTGGTTCTACTTGTGCCGTCTTTGGTCTGGGAAGTGTCGGTCTTTCGGCTCTAATAGGTTGTAAAGTAGCAGGAGCTTCAAGAATTATAGCTATTGACATCAACAGTGAGAAGTTTACAAAGGCCAAAGGCCTTGGAGCCACTGACTGCCTCAATCCTAGAGACCTACAAAAACCCATCCAAGAGGTCATTATTGAAATGACCAATGGAGGTGTGGATTTTGCCTTTGACTGTGTAGGTGGATTTGAAGTCATGGTAGGTATGTTTTCATAATAGTATGTAATAAATAATATTTATTAACCTTAATAAACATTGATAGTATATATTAATGTATTAATTCATTTCACATTTCATATTCATATATTTATATAAATACATAAATTATATATTTATATAATAAGCAGTGTTCAATTTTATATTAGATATTATGCAATATTTTATAATTGATATTTAATAAATATTACTGATAAATACTTAATATTAATGTTATTAATCTTCCTATTTATCCTTCCACATGAAACAGCAATAAATTAAGAGAAAACTTAGAAAAAAATTTTTTAAAGAATTATGCCTATGAGAAGTGAAAAAAAAGAAAACAGATTTAAAGGAGGGAGTAAGAGAAGGTAAATGGTGCCACCTTAACAGCTGGGGATACCCATTCCCATTTAAAAGTAAAGCAGGGAGAGGTCAGCAACCTAAAGACAATCCAATTCTGTCAGATCTCAATAAATGGGCTACAAAATTAGGTCCAAATTATATATTTGAAATTTTCAATATATTAAACACACATACGAACACGAAGTGCAAAATGGAAAAGCGAATCTTTTTTTCCTGAACACTACAATTTTGTACCATTGAGATTTCCTCTCCTCTCAGGACAGGCTACATAATTTTCAATACCCTTCTGAAGGCCCTGAGTGACAGCACTGGCTGCATGCCCATGAAGCCAGCCATGTCTATATCACTCCAAAAAAAGAATAAAGAGCCAACCGTACAGGCAATAGATGGAAAAGTTAACTTGTCAGAGTATCCAGTTTTATTATCCAGTGAAGAGTCACCTAGTGCATATTTGCTCAAAGACGCTAAGTAGTTTTGTTTTGTTTTAATGAAATAACCAAAGAATTCATCAACTAAATTATCTGCCTGTGGCTCCTTCTTATTTCATTAGGGAGAGCTGTGAAGTAGCTGTGCATTATTTGCTTTTATTTACACATTCATTCAGCCTAGCTCCTAAAACCCTCTTTTAGGAAAGACATGAAAATAAAATTCTACACTTCAACCAGGAGCAGGCTTTGCTCTTTCTGCCCCTCGGTTCTTACCTGACTGACCCATTCTCCAGAAAAGTGAAGACCAGGAAGAGCTGCTAAGAGTAGCAGACTGCCATTGCTAGATCTTTCCTCTCAAAATAATTTCATTGTAATAATATGACTGTTTAAAAGTGGATTTGAAAGGTAATAAGCTCTCAATAGATGTTAGCTATTACTGAAAATTCATGCAGTAAGGGCTCCTTATCCTGCACTGCTCCCTTGTGTTCAAAGCCTAAGGTCCTGCTTTCTTAATTGTCCTTGGCACCTGCAGTTTGCAATGTGCCACATCCATTCCTCCACTTCGCAGAGCTCAAGTGTTTTACAAACATTGAAATTCAACCATTTACCTTATTTTTCTAATACAAATATTCTCAACACTGGCTGTACTTTAGAAGTGCCTGAGGAGTTATTGGGTTTCTTTAGTACCACATCCCAGAATATTCTCATGAATGGAGCACATCCCAGGATATTCTCATGAGTTGGGGGCCCAGGCGCCAATATTTTTTATAAGTTTCTCAAGTTGAGAACCACTGATCTAAAACTTGGCACGTTCTATTAACTTATTTATTGTACCAAGAAACATGTTTTAAATTATGGAATAGAATTACAATAGAGAATCCAAATAAAAAGAGATGGATTTATTTACTCACAAAAAGAAGAGCTAGCTACCCTTCCACTAGAAGTTTCCATAACTAGGAAAAGATACATTTCTGGGTTGTAGAGGAGATTCCAATAATAGGTATAAACTTGATTTCAATGACCTCTCATGCTGTAAATCAGCCTAAAAACCCACAACACAATTAACAAATCATAATAACTGATAATTTTATAAGATTTTGAGGATTAAAAATAATTCTCATCAAAAGTTATCAGAGCCTACTAAATAAAATACTGTATTTCCATATAATACACATTTAATTAAGTCATCATTCTATCATTATGGAATTTAATTCTTTGCTTGGATCAAAGTCAGAAATGTAGAAAAAGCAATAGGAAAAACATTTTTTTAAAAAGTCAGTGTAAGCAGCTATCTTCAGGTGACAGGTAATGCCGGTGGTCTTTTCCCCTCTCTATGGATCTCTATATATAAATAAAAATGTTTCTGCTATATAAAAATAAAAATGTTTCTGCTATATAAAAAGTACAGAAAATAGAAGAGTTGCTATTTAGAAGTGTTAGGAATTTCCAAAACAATAAATAATCACATAATCAAACAAAAATTTCAAAACATGTTCTTCAAGTTCTAGTCATTGATTTCTTCTGCCACTAAAAAGGCAGAAAAAGAGAGAAAAGACAAAGAATTTACTGTACTTCAAATTGCTTCTTTTGTATAGTGATCAGTGATGAAAAGGAACTATATTTCCTATTGAGACTTCTATAAAAGTAAAACTTGCCCCAACAGGTCAGAATCAATTGACTGCTGACTATGGCAAGGATATAGGAAAATGTTTACATTTTTCTTTTGTAATATTAGTCTCAAAACATTTTAAATGTTCATCTATTTACCTACCATAAGACTTATATGTGGAATGGCCATCCAGAAGTTTATATCTTTCTTTAACTTATTTACATTTTCAATCCCTGGCATTTTTATATTATTCCCAAACTTATCATAGGTTACCATAATGTTTTCTCTTTCTCTCACGCAAAGATCAATGCAACTCCCCTGGCCCACTATCTTCCATATGGTGACTCAGCAATCAAGGAGGTTCAAATTTGTGGCTTCGCAATCTCTACCTAAGGTCCTCTTGGTTGTTACAGCAGGAGAAGGGACAACTGACAAGTTGCACACTGGCTTTTCTGTTCTGCCTAGAAAATGACACACATCACTTCTGCCCATAGCCCATTGGCCAGAACTAGTCACATAACTCTACCTAACTATAAGAAAGCTAAAAAGTGTAGCGATGCAGATGAAATGTTTCATGAGCAGCAGTCAATGTCATTTTGTTTAACTATTTTACTCTCTGATTTAAACAGCATTTCTTTTCATTTATCCTACACTGAGATCTACTAAGTTTGCAGTATGTGCCTCATTCTATGCTCTAGTGAATACTTAACTACCCTCTTTTAATGACTTTAAATATTTTGATCCTATACCCCAGGAATTGCAAACATTTTAGTATATACCCATGGTAAATAGTCAAAAGCTTTTTGATTAGAGTTTACAGAGTTTATAGTCTATACACTTTCCTAACTTCATGTATGTGTATTTTTCTTGATATACAATGATATACATTCTAGGTTCATATAACTATGGCATTAAACAGGGTGAAGTACTATGTTACATTTCTTTTAAATATCATTTTTTGATGAATCTCAAAGTTTTATTGGATGTTCTATCTGAAACAAAAGGTTCAAAGCTTAATCTATCACACTATGACGTCCCATTATCTCATAAGCAGAATTGAATAAATCTTCCCTAAAACATACTACATATCCACACTGGAGTCATATTCTACTTTTCTACTTACTCAGCTGGTCTTTTTTGTTTGACTTTCCAGAAAGCAGCCCTGGAATGCACAACAGTAGGTTGGGGATCATGTACTCTCATTGGAGTAGCCATGCAGAACAAAGAACTGATTCTTTCTCCATTGGAGTTAATTATGGGCCGTACTATCAATGGAACATTATTTGGTGGTCAGTTTTTTTTTCTTTTAATATTCTCCATAGTACTACTCAAATTCTTAAAATAAATGTTATTGAAAGGAAAGAAAAATAATTTGTTGTTTAAATATTAAGTACCTAGAAAACATCTAAAGACTACAGGAAATCTATTCTATAAATTACTTGAAAGTAAACAGTTTGTATAGATAGGTAACTACAACTTGAAAATTGAACAAACACAGAAGAGCAAACAATAAACTTTGACCAAACTGAGATAATTTCTTATCTAGAAGTAGAAAATAATTTGAATTTTTCTTATGAAGAAAAAATTTTAAGTAGATGAAAATACATAAAATTAAAGATGGGGAGGGGTTTAGTCTATACGGAGCAAGCTGAAGCTGGCCTGATAATTTCATTCATTCAACTCTGACCAAACTACATCTTCATGACAAATACCATGTCTTTACTTGGCATTTTGGCCAAATTACAGGTTGGAAAAGTGCGGATTCTATCCCAAAGCTGGTTACTGACTACAAGAATAAGAAATTCAATCTAGATGCTTTGGTAACCAGTACTTTGCCTTTTGACAAAATCAATGAGGCACTTGACCTAATACTCCAAGGAAAAAGGTAAATTAGCAAACAGATGGGTAAGTGGCTTGAAAAACCTTTACTATATTATTTTTCTTTGATGTAAAAAACTAATCAGTTTTTTTTTTTTTCCGACACTTTCCACATCATCAGAGGTACTAAATCTGCTTTAAATATTAAATAGAGGCCATTTGGGAAGGAAAAAAAAGCTTCCTACAGTGTAACCTCAGGTCCCTTTGGTCCAATATAGCCCTGGCTCTGGAATCATTATATTCTGACAAAGAGTGCCCACTTCAGGCCCTTCTTTATCAGAATCAGGTGAAAACCATGGAGATGTGAACAATGAGTGGCAGGTATCAGATACTTAAAGGATGCCCCAACTCTCTTGTCTCCTTGCTTTGTCATTGGCCTCCTGGAAGATACATTCTGACCCACAATTTTAGCTTTATTGTGCTTTCTTGACATGGATGGACCCTGATAACTGATTTATAGAAATGTCCCAATTAGGGGCTCCCTAGCAGTTGGGGAGTGGGTAAGGCTAGGATCAACAATTTTTATTAAAACGATCAAGTATACAGCCTTGATCAATAGAGGCAAAAGACAAAACACCAGGAACAATGCTGCACAGAGGAGATGCAGGACAAAAAAAAAAAAAAAGAGGCAAAGAGAAGACATTACAAAAGAAAAGGAATGAGGAAAAGTCTAAAGTTAAATGACAGAATTTTGACACAAAGAAGAAATGTTACAAAAGAAAATAGATCCACGGTAAAAGGACCCAGGCTACTTCATGGGAAAGAAACGCAAGAAAACGTCCCTACTGACATGAACTCCCTAACTTGCAAACAAGTTAGCTATAACATATCAAAGAGTTCAATTTTTAAAAAAAGACATCAACATTCTTTTTAAAGCTACACTAAGTAACTTAATGTATGAGTCCCACGTCTCGCTCAATCTCAAATATTCCTCAAGGAATATTCCTCAAGTTAGGAGTTTGGTTGGCATTTGGGGCCTGAGACCCTGCAGCTTCTAGCTCCTCCTCCCCCAGTCATAAATTTACCCAACAAGAGATGCTAAGTGGCAGCCAAGAGAAAATGTTGCATTACTTTATTAATAACTGAGCAAGTCTCCCACACTCTTAAAGCAGGCCTAGTAATCAGTGGTAGAATGGAGGCCTAGGGGAAACACCTGAATGAAACCTCCTTCTTCCACCCTGGCTCGCTGACCGCCCACACAGATGGAAAAGCAGCATCAGAGAAGGCAGAGGGTGGAACTACCCAGGTGTGCTCATTGTATGGCTACTGGAAACATAATTGAGGACAGGCCTTCCTGCTATACTAACTGCATAGAAGCAAGAAAGTGGAGAAAAGGGATGGTATACAATGATCAATTAGTCTGTTATGGCACAGTGCCCCTCATTTATGGTGAAAGAAGGACACAAAGATTCTTCCTCTACAGGGAAGTATAGCTTCCAGTCCCTGAGTGAAGAAGACATTTATGCATGGCAACCTGCTGATGCCACAGATTTCACAGCTCCAGCAGTAAGGTCCAAGATAAGGAATTCTGTCCTTGAGGTTTATCTCCCTCTTTGCTTCTACATGTAGAAGGAGTTATCCAGGAGTAGGAATATTTGTATTCTCAGAAAGTAGCATTCCAACACACCAATCACCCCCTCTTTTGATGCCCAAATTGCTCTAGGCTACAGGAGAGCCAAGAGCAATGACCATTCCAAGGCGAAAAGCTCACTACAACCATGATATGCTCTACTTCTCAACAGCACCACTGGGCAAAAAAGACCTTGCTGAGGACCAAGCAAGGGTCCTCACTTTTCCCCCAGTTTTTTGGCATTATATATATCAAGTATCGTCAATGCCATGAATGGAAGAGGATGACAAGATAAATAAAATTAGACTTAGCAAACTATATCTCTAAAGAAAGATTGAATCATATTCTGAAATGGAAAAACAAAAATTATTTGTGGGTTTTGGTTAAATTAACTATGAAAATTATACTGATTATTGTTTTATAATTATTAACAGCATTCGAACAATTCTGACCTTTTGAAGATGCCGGGTGAAATTTGGAACACTATCTGACTGAATATGAACCGGTTACTTTATTACCTGATATGATCAAGTAATATCATATTTGAAGATGCCGGGTGAAATTTGGAACACTATCTGACTGAATATGAACTGGTTACTTTATTACCTGATATGATCAACAAGAATCACCATGAATTTAAACAAATATTTAGTTAATATCTCAACATCAAATAGTTATAAAGATTATAGCATTCGTATCCATAAAATATATTAACATTTCCTATATTAAATAACTATGATAACTGATGTGTTTATGAATAGAATCATATGATGTTTAGGAATTGTTTAAAACTAGTTCTAGAGAAGTGGGAATGAGAAACTAGGAAAAATCACTATTATTTATGTGAATAAGATACATACATCTTTAAAATAGATATTATATATGTACATGTATACATATACAATGCTATTATGTAATTTGTTTTTTAATAAACTGCTAAATAATTTTCTCTTAAACATTTGTCGATTTCTTTTCTCTTAGCCCCACTTTACCATTGTGAACTATAATCACAAGTTGTGGGATATCAGAAGTAGGATATGTATATAAATGAATGA